CTTTTGAGAAAGGTGATTCGTTTTATATGATTGTAACTATCGGATTGTTCGGATTAAATTAATTTAAAAAATGACTTTGTTCTTTTTGCAGGACATAAGCAGCAAATCTTACACTGCATTTAGCATCTTCTTTTATTGTAAAATATTTCGTTAAATTAATGCAGATCCCAGTTAACAAATAATAGCTTGACTTTTAGTTGATCATTTGGAAAAGTGTCAGAAGGTGGATTTTTCTGATGAATCATCTGTTGATCTGCATCCCAATCATCACCAATACTGCAGAAGACCTACTGGAACCCACATAGAGCCAAGATTCTCACTGAAATCAGTCAAGTTTGGTGGAGGAAAAGTCATGGTTTGGGGTTACATTCAGTATAGGGGTGTGCGAGAGATCTGCAGAGTGGATGATCAACATCAACAGCCTGAGGTATCAAGACATTTGTGCTGCCCATTACATTACAAACCACAGGAGAGGGACAATTCTCCAGCAGGATAGCGCTCCTTCTCATACTTCAGCCTCCACATCAAAGCTCCTGAAAGCAAAGAAGGTCAAGCTGCTCCAGGATTGACCAGCCCAGTCACCAGACATGAACATTATTGAACATGTATGGGGTAAGATGGAGGAGGAGGCATTCAAGATGAACTCTTGATGAACTCTGGGAGTCCTGCAGGAACACTTTCTTCGCCATTAAAGATGACTTTATTAATAAGTGATTGCAAGGATGTATGGATGCAGTCCTCCAAGCTCATGATGGAGTCAGACACAATATTCAGCATTAATTTATATTCTATACTGGACATTATTTCTGTTCAGTAACAAGACTTTAGTCTAAGCAGAGTCAGAGCTTACTGTCCTAATTAAATAATCAAAAATCAAAGCATGATTACATTTTATTGTGGTCAATTAAGCGTAATCTAGAGGCCTTTCTTCTTACTTCTGGTACCGACTGATCAACTAGAAGTCAGTTTATTATTTGCTGTTCATAAAACTTGTATAGGTGACAAGACTTTTGTCAGGTAGTGTATATGGAGGAAACATATTTCAGTTTCTCTGGATTCACTGCCGCTTAAAGACCTACAATATTACATCATCAAAAGCATGTCAAAAATTGATTACAGATTTTTGACGTGTTTTTGGTGCCAATGTTAGATGTCAAAGTGATGTCGTTTTGACATCAAGGTCATTTAAATGCATTGTAGGAATACAAAATCCAGTGTATATTTGGACCTTCAGATAAACAAAACCGTCCTTATATTATAATGTTACAATACTTTTGGTGTCGTCACTTTGATGGTTAATGGATGTGGATGTGGATGTCGAATGGACGTTGAGGTTTTATCATCAAATTGATTTACATTTTTGACATGTATTTAAGGTCGTTTTTACATCAAGGTGCCTCCTGGCTAAAAATATCACCATCAGTTGCTCAAACAACTTGATGGAAATGCACTTCATTCACACTTGGGGTTGTTTCGTTAGTGATCATTTGCAAAGCTACCGTATAAGCAAATATTTTCAATGCTGATGTGAGAGATAAAAAGAAACCATTGCAAAAATGAGACTTCAGTTCTGGATGTAAATCGCTTAATCCAATGATCTGGCTTAGTTGTTTGGTCTGTGTGAAAGTCTTCATGTCCCTGTGATCATCTTAAATCATCTTGTATGTGTGTGTTTCAGGCTGATAGACAGTGTGTGTGTGTGTGTGTGTGCAAGCCGACGGCTCCACGAGTTCGCATAAAAAACGTTTTTCACAGAAAGCCGTCACGTTTCACAGATATATTCATAGCTGTCTATTTTTACAGCTGTCTATTTATGTGCTGGAGTTTTCAGTCGTTCCTGGGTTTACGTTAATTGCTCTCGCTTTACCTCTTCTTCGTTCACACTTGCTGCGGTTTGATTAATTATCTCTTCTCACACAGCTCCAGGTTTGATGGTTCCTGTGTGTGTCAGTCCGTTACAGATGAGCTTCTCCAGGGATCACACTCATCTGACGGTTATTTATAGCCTCTTCAGCATCAGGATGCGTTTTACTGAGAGGGGCTTTATCAATACTGACACACAGAGGAGAATCTTTAGCTTTAGCATTTGACTTGTTTTAAGTATTTAATTTTATTTTAATTGGGTTGATTTTAAAATTGGTTTTACCTTAAAGGGGACACTTAAACAAGTCTGTGGTGACCCTGATGAATAAGGGACTAACTAGAAGGAAAGTGAATGAATGAATTGTAAAGTTACGATTTAATAAAGATATATATTTTTAAAAGGTTTGAGTTGTTGCATAGTAAATAATGATTGCTCGAAAGCATCCATAGCTCTTACAGAGTTTCATCCAAAGCGCTAAGCAACTTCAAGCTGTTGGCTTCTTAGGGTGCTTTTCCGATGCATTATTATGTCAGTTTAGTTCCCAATGGGCTGCAGATCCAATATCAGCAAAGTGAATCCGATGTAGCTTCGCAACTCCCCGATGGTTTGCGCTGGAATCCCAACAGCTGCTTTTTCTGCAGTTGCCTGTCAGCCATTTTGTTTCACTTGGTTGCTCCATAAAGAGTCCAAAACCTTGGCTTTCTTTCCCTCCCTCAGTCGTCTGCAGTCTTGCTTACATACAGCAGGCACAATAAAGCGGGAATCATGCTTGACTTTGGTCTCGTCCCCGGAGAGAGCTGTGTAAGTGAAAACTTTGTAGTTTGTGGTTCTTTGTTAATCCAGCTGTTCCCCTGAGAGCGGCAGAACTGCGTGTGTTTGAGAGTTTGTTGACTGGCAGCTCCATCAACCAGTTTGATCTCTGCATTAGTTTGACCTCGCAAACACTGTTGCGTAACGAAATATCTGCACTGCAACAACTAAACTTACTTTAATGGCAGCCAGACGTGAAGATGCTGCCGTCAAGCCTTTCCAGACCAGTTTGACTTTATTTCTTCAGTGGGAATAAAAAAAAATGTGAATCCCTTTTTCAGAAGCGCTGAAATTCCAGAAATAAGTTCCCTCTTGAACAACAACTCTGCACTGTTAAAAATGCTGGGTTCCACACCATCACACCGCTGGGTTTGTGTTGAGACAACATTAAGGAATTAAGGTATATTACTTGTTTTGACAAATTTAAGTATATAGAACACAAAACCATTCAGTTTTTCCTCCAACAAACCTCAAGAATTGTGTTGTTTTAGCTTGTCTTAACCTTGAAAGTATTAATTATTGATTATGTTGGCCATATTAAGTAGGGCTGCACAATATTTATAGATATTTTTTTCGATGTACATTTCGATATGAAAACAATTTCACCAGATGACTTAATGGGCTCTATTTTAATGATCTAGGCACAAAGTCTAAAGCGCACTGCGCTAAAGCATTAAGGGCGTGTCTGAATCCACTTATGCTGTTTTAAGGATGGAAAAATACACTCTGCACCCCAGTGCATGGTCTAACAGGGTTGGCTTATTCTCTTCATGAGTTCTGGGTGTGTTTTGAGCATTAAACCAATCAGAGTCTCATCTCCCATTCTCTTTAAGAGTCAGTTGCTTCGCACCATGGCACATTTGCTAATTACATGGCGGACTTTGTAAGTGGAAAAACTGAACGCTTCACCAGTGAGAAAACAGTTAAACAGAGCATCTGCAGCGCGAGAATAAAGAACGAGCCTCCTCCATTCGGCCTTTTTACTTTCTCTTTCCTTTATTTTTATTCTTTACTCTTTTACTTTGGGGAAAGGGTGGAAACTCACTCCACTGAAGTTATCCACTAGCCGACATATTTAATTTAATTTGTTAAGCGCAAAGATTGGTTTCAAAATTATTTCTAAATTCAGTTCTAATTTCCAGCAAAGGAACAAATGAACAATAATAACAAGGTGTGTTCAAAGTTATATCCAAATTAATTTTATGAATCAGACTGATTCAGTTCTTGACTCTGCAACTTATTTTTAGTGTCCACTGATAGGGAAGATGATAATCACAGAAATTACAATAAATACTTTATATTCAGTCTATTCATCATTGTATCATACACTAAAATGATTCATTGGATTTACAATTTTTTTTTAAGTAAGTGTTCGCAAACAATTAAAATGAGCTGAATTTAATAAATAAATACATTTAGTAATGCTCAACTTCATTTGTTTGTTTAATTTTTTATTATTAATAATAAATGAATAGGACCAAATTTAACCTAATGTTTGGGTTGGTCCATATTTTACCCAATTTGCACTGTAAAAAAATATTGGGTTATTTCAACCCAATGTAATACAGACTAAAACAACTGCTGGGTTATTTCTTTTTATTAAACTACTAGGACCAAATTTAACCTAGTGTTTTGGTTAGTCCATAAACTGCCAGGTTATTTCAACCCAATTCTGAGTGTAATAGGAACTTATCTTAATGTTGGGTTATTTTTTTTAATTAAATAAATAGACCCAAATTTAACCCAATGTTTGAGTTTGTCCATATTTTACCAAATTTGCACTCAAAAGTGCTGGGTTATTTCAACCCAAATTCTGGGTATAATAGAAACTAACCCAAATGCTGGGTTAGTTTTTTTAAATAAAAATTAATTGGACCAAATTTAACCCAATGTTTGGCTTAGTTCATATTTTACTCAATTTGCTCTCTAAAAATGCTGGGTTATTTCAACCCAATTTTGTATGTATTACAGACTAAAACAACTGCTGGGTTAATTTATAAAAATTAATTAATAGGACCAAGTTAATAAGTCCATATTTTACCCAATTTGCACTATGCAAAACACTGTTATTTCAATCTAATTCTGGGTGTAATACCAACTAAACCAACTGCCGGGGTAATTTATTTATTTATTTAATTAATTGGTCCAAATTTAACCTAATGTTGGGGTTAGTCTATATTTTACCCAATTTGGATTTAAATAGGCAATAATTTCTTATAGTGTGGGTTTAAATAACTTCTTAGAGTGCACAATAGGGAGGGAAAGCCTCAAGAAAAGAGGATCTTCAGCATTTTCATGATGTCTTTCTCTTTTTCTGCTCTGCTAGGATGAAGAAAGTGAGCCACTGTTACCGTCTTGTGTACCGTCACATGGAAAGGACTCTGACTCAAGAAGAAGTGAGCATCGTCCACACTGCCATCCAGACAGCGGTGGAGCAGGAGCTGGGCGTGCAGGGCAGATTCTGATGTGTTTACACACATCAGCGTCACCAGGTTTCTCTAACTAATTAAATGTGGAAACTCTTCAACTGCACTCAGCTGGAGACTCCCTCTGTAGTTTCTTAAAGGAACACGGCATAACTCAGCAAAACTACAAATAGTCATATTATTTAGTCATCATCTTGTGTTTTTTTTTTTCAATCTACAACATCACTAAAGTAATAGTTTAGGCTACAGTTCAAATCTTTTCAGTCTCAGTGAAACACAAATTAATATATTTTTCTAGTCATTTGGTGACCCTTGACTTTGAATGGGCTAGTGTGAGTTTAGCATCACTGAGATACTGCTACACTCTAAAAAATGCTGTTTATAGAGTGTATACAAGGTTCATTTTTTTTTTATAAATGCTTGGTTGTTGTATAACCCAACAGATGGGTTATAAAATTTTACTTAAATTAAATTTTTAACATTATCGCAATGTTAGGTTTCTTATCTGTCCCAACATTAAGTTACAACAACTCAACCTTTCTTGAGTGAATATACAGCTGGGTTATTGTAACCCTATGTTGGGTCAAATATTTACAAAAATACTGGTAAGTGTAACTTAAAAAGTAAACCTAAACAAAAGTAAACCTAAATATAAATTTTCAAAATCAAATCAAAATTGGGTTTCTGCATTGACCCAAAGTTGGGTTACGACAACGCAACTTTTTTTAGAGTGATTAAACAGTCTAAAAAATGCTGAGTTGCTGTAACTCAATGTTGGGTCAAATATGGACAAAGAAATCTGGGTTGTTGTCAACCCAACACTGGGTTAAATGTGGACAAAAAAATTAATTGTTGGGTTGTTGTATTGCAACATTGGGTCAAATATGGACTAAGATATATATATTTTGGCTTGTTTTATTCAATGTTGGTTCTTAAATGGTAAAACAGACCATTGGGTTAAAAAGTGTAACTTGAATAAAATTATTTAATTACACCAACATTGGGTTTCTTAATTGACCCAACGACAATCCAACTGTTTTTTAGAGTGAATATATACACTCTACAAAACACAGGGTTAAAAACTACCCCAATTGGGTTGTTTTAACCCTACTGCTGGGTAAATATGGGACAGAACACATCAGGGGTTAAATTAACCCAAGTAATTGGGTTATTATTTTTAACGCCATAAATGGGTTGTTTTCTACCCAATAATTGTTTATTTTTATTTATATAATAGGTTAATTTGATCCAAAAATGCCTGCAAAAGATGACTTGGCAACTGTGGTGTTTTGACTTGGTGTCACTGAAGTACGGTTTAATTACAGGTGCACAAAAGGTGGTAGTAAGAAATTTTAAAATTCAGAAAGGTCTGACTAAGGGCTGCTATGAGCATAAATCTCATCTGAAAACGCAAGGAATCTGGGTTTATGTTACACTATTTTCATTGCATTTAGACAAATTAGTATATAATATGTGGTATTCCAGTCAGCCCCTGCTGTGAGTGGATTTGACCCAAAGAGCTGGGTTGAAACTACTCAAGACTCTGAAAATAACCCCCCAAAATGCCTCAACCCAAGATTTAGGTAGAAAAAATAACCCCATGTTTTTTAGTGTACACTCTGAAAATGTTGGGTTGTTGTAACCCAATGATGTTTCAAATATGGACAAATATAAGATGTTGGGTTGTTGTTACCCAATGATGTTTCAAATATGGACAAATATTAAATGTTGGGTTGTTGTTACCCAATGTTGGGTCAAACATTGACAAACCAAACCGTTGGGTTAAAAGTGTAACTTGAGTATTGTCATATGTCCCAATGTTGGTTTACAACAACCCAACTTTTTTAACGTGAATTTATACACTCTGAGAATGCTGGGTTGTTGGAACTCAACAGTGGGTCAAATAGGACAAAAATACAAATGTTGGGTTGTTGTAACCCAATGTTGGGTTCAAATATTAACAAAAATTAGCAATTCTGGGTTGTTCTAACCCAATGTTGGGTCAAGCATGGACAAACCAAAACGTTAAGTTACAAAAGTGTAACTTTAATATTGTCATATGTCCCAGTGTTGGGTTACAGCAACTCAACTTTTTTTAGAGTGAAAATGCTGGATTGTTGTAATCTAACACTGGGTCAAATAGGACAAAATATAAAATGTTGGGTTGTTGTAAGCCAACATTGAGTCAAATATAGACATTAATGAACAATTCTGGGCTGTTGTTAGTGAATAAATACACTTTAAAACTTGCTGGATTTTTGTAAAAGTAAGATGTGCTGAAATGTAACACGAGAAACAGAGCAGCACATGAAGAGAAGGAAAATAACGTGAGTGTAAACAATGCGCAAATGTGTTTGATATTTACCAGACTTGACCTTGAAAAGAGCTTTCTGGGTCATAATAACCTGTCTCTGTCCCACATCCCAGACTGGCAAACAGATGGATTTAATACAGATGTCAGAAAGCCCACAGAAACAGGTGCATCAGTGCCAGTCTGATGATCAGCGTTAAACAGAAGCTCTTACTGTACTTTACTTGAGGTAGAAATGAGTTAGTCTGTAATGAGCTGCTGGACAGAAATTAGCCAGATAATGAAACATTTCCTCAAAGTCAGCCTGCAGTAACGGGTCGTCATCACTGCTGCAGCAAAATAAAAGAGTCCTGGAGAATAATTGTGTCACTTTGTCTTTTATATATTTCCAGACCGGCTAAAACTTTCCATTTTACAGCCATATTCATTCTGCAGTGCGTTTATGCCTTCCGTGCCTGAATGAAATTGTTTGCATATAGCTTGTGTTTTGTTTTTTGTGAGAGTGTGTTTGGGGGGGAAGAAGTACATTACTATAAAACAGATTAATGATTAAATAGATTTCCGAGTTCATTTAAATTATAACCAGAGAAACATTTTGATTTTATACAGTAGTTTGGGCTCAACATAAAGTCTGAGATGATTTGTGTTTTATGACATGCCGTGTTATCCTGCTGGAAGTGAAGATGGGCACACTGTGGTCATAAAGGGATGGACATGGCTGACAACAATACTCAGGTAGGCTGTGTTGTTGATGCTCAATTGGTACTAATGGACCCAAAGTGTGCCGTGAAAATCTCTCCCACACCATTACACCACCACCAGGATCCATGATTTCATGTTGTTGATGCCAAATTCTGAGCCGAGCATCCGAATGTGTCAGCAGAAATGGAGACTCATCAGAACAGGCAACGTTTCTCCAATCTTCTATTGTCCAGTTTTGGTGAGCCTGTGTTAATTGTAGCCTGTTCTTAGCTGACAGGAGCGGCACCCGGTGTGGTCTTCTGCTGCTGTAGCCCATCCGCCTCAAGGTTGAACGTGTTGTGTGTTCAGAGATGCTCTTCTGCAGAGCTCGGTTGTAACGAGTGCTTATTTGAGTTACTGTTGCCTTTCTATCAGCTGGAGCCAGTCTGGCCATTCTCCTCTGATCTCTGGCATCAACAAGGCATTTGCGCCCACAGAACTGCCGCTCACTGGACATTTCCTTTTCTTCAGACCATTCTCTGTAAACCCTAGAGATGGTTGTGCATGAAAATCCCAGTAGATCAGCAGTTTCTGAAATACTCAGAGCAGCCCGTCTGGCACCAACAACCATGCCACATTCAAAGTCACTTAAATCCCCTTTCTTTTCATTCTGATGCTCGCTTTGAACTGCAGCAGATTGTCTTGACCATGTCTACATGCCTAAATGCATTGAGTAGCTGCTATGTGATTGGCTGATTAGAAATTTGCATTAACAGTAGCAGTTGGACAGCTGTACCTAATAAAGCGGCCAGTATGTGTATGTATGTATGTATGTATGTATGTATGTATGTATGTATGTGTGAGTGTGTGTGTGTGTATACATATACATTTTAAAATGATGCCATCTATGTAAAAATATTAATTATATATATATATATATATATATATATATATATATATATAATATTTTTACATAGATGGCATCATTTTAAATTATATAAAATATATAAAAAAAAACAAATCAAATGGTCACACAAAACAAGCCTGGGTAAAATGCAAACATGTTTTAGCAAGAAAAACAAATGTTTTTGTATATCATATGACATCTTTAGCTTCTGTTGTCTTTCATTCATTCATTATTTTGTTAGATGTCATGTTTGTTTTTTCCCTGGTTGCTACATATTCTTCATCTCCAGATCGCCCTTTTGGCTGCAGCTTGAACAATACATCCCCATTACCCCGGCTCTTCTTCATATGTATACAGAAGACAGATTGGAAAAAGTGACCCGGCGCCGTATGGCATTTGTTGGAGCAGGACAGAGACTCCTCTGCATCTTAATGAAGCCTTATGTTGCGGTCCGTGTGTCTGACGACCGGCTAAAGAATACAGGGATCTTCCTTTGGGGGAAACGAGCTCAATTACAATCCCAGTAATGAATTTTTGATGCGCTGCAATCAGATCCTGGATGAATGGGACAGAGCACGAGACGCTCCGGCGGGTAAACTTCTCTTGTGTTAATGCAGATCTTTTCATTTCAGGCTGTACAGGATTTTGATCTTTTGTTTAAATGGGAGATTTGGAGAGTTAAAGCATGAGGGATGAGCATTTGAAAAGTGCATTTGATGTGCTGCTGTGAAATGAGGGTCTTCTGCTCACCAAAGATGCATTTATTTGACTTATAAACACATTGTGGAGTTTATATTGTCACTATATATACACACACACATACAGTTGAAGTCAGAATTATTAGCCCCCTTTTGATTAAATTTTTTTTCAATATTTCCCAAATTATTATTTTTAACAGAGCAAGGAAATTTTCACAGTATGTCTGATAATATTTTTTCTTCTTGAGAAATTCTTATTTGTTTTATTTCGGCTAGAATAAAAGCAGTTATTAATTTTTTAAAAAACAGTTTTGGGACAAAATTATTAGCCCCTTTAAGCAATTTTTTTTCGATAATCTACAGAACAAACCATTATTATACAATAACTTGCTCAATTCCCCTAACCTGCCTAGTTCACCTTATTAACCTAGTTAAGCCTTTAAATGTCACTTTAAGCTGTCTAGAAGTTTTAAGCTGTCTAGAAGTAAAATATTATGTGCTGTCATCAAGTCA